CCATTTCTTGCTGGGGCTAAATAATATCCCAATATGTGGATATAGCACATTTGGTGTATTCATTCAGAATTGATGGATATTTTGGCCTCTTACGAAAAACATTGTTAGTTTTGTGAACATATTTTAAATTATCTTGGGTGTATTTGTAGGGGTAGAATAGCTGGGGCATACAGTGAGTCAGAGTTTAACTGAGTGGGCTGAAGAAGCATCCAATGTGCTTACAGCTTGACGGCAGTAGATAAGGACACTCGTTTCGCTGGTATTCGCTGGGTAGCAGCCACCAGAGCCAGAGCTCCAGGTTCGAATCCCACTTGTATCATTTCCTGTCGTGTAAACTTTGACAAGGTACATGAGCTGCAGGTCTCCATTTCAGCACCTTACAAGAGAGCCAACTTCAGGAACTAAAGCTCCTAAGACCGTTCTCCAAGTTGGGTAGTCTCGTAGGTAGACGAGAGTCTGACATTTTTAAATACGACCTGTTTTACGATCACTGATACTTCTAATCGTGTGATTGTGGCATCTTATTAATCAGTTTCATCTTATTAATCTGATAGCTTTTTTTTTTTGATGATGCTCAGCTTGTCAAGGTTAGTCACTGAAACGCAGTAACTGAAGATGACAGTAATGGAAGAGGGGGCAGAAAGTGGAGGAAAGCTGTTCTGAGCAGGGGCCGTTACAGCTCAGAGGGTAACCTGAGTCGGAGGAGGCTTCACGTGGTCCACTGGAAGCATCGCATAGCACGCATAGCATCCCAAGAGTCATAAGCCTGACTGGGGACGCGCGAGGGGAGATTGATACGGGTGTGGACTCTCTTCTCTCCCAGCTGTATGTAAATACTCTGCACAGATGATGAGCAGGAAGCTCATAGATGATTCTCCTTTGGGGAGCTTTTCAGTTGTGACGTCACAGTACCATTTGACTAAAACCCTGCTAACTTCCTCCTTCTGGAACCCGTGCAATTCACATGACCCTGTTCTCAACCTGTCCATCTCAGGCTCCTGTCCCAAGACCTGCAGCCTGGTCCCCTCCTCTGATAACCACCACCACCTCCTCCTTTTCTTTTTTCTCCTTCTCCCCCAGAAAATAGTCTCTAAACTCTAAGAGCTGCGGCTGGAGAGAGCGCTCATCCAGGTAAGGGCACTGGTTGCTCTTCCAAAGGACCAAGGTTTGGTTCCCATATGGCGACTTATAACTATCTGTAACTCCGCTCCCAGAAGGCCTGACAGCCTTCTGTCGCACAGACATATACGCAGACCAAACACCCATGCATATAAAGTCAACAAAATTTAAAAAGTAAAATAAAATGGTTTGCCCTATTACATTTGATATCCCGACACACACACATATACATACCTGTATATTTATATGTGTGTATATAGACCCTTTGGCTTTCCATTCCAATTTCTGGCATACAATTCTTAGAAACCTGTTATAATTGTCTGTCTAATAAGGGTGCTTGGTAGTCTTTTGTTCTGATATATGACCACATAGCTACCAATTCTTGGGAATTTCCTGAGAGATAGACATGTCCTTCATTCCAGTGAAGTCACTTTTGGTGAGTTCCTGTTTTTGACCTTGTCATCAGAATGACTAGACTGTGGGCAGAAAGAGCTTGACACTTTCACCCCCACCTCCTGTCCTCTGCAGGAGGGAGAAGGGCTGGAAGCTGAACTGATGGCTGAAGTCTCTATGAAAATTCTCTGAGCTATAGCTTCAAGCAGCTGGGCTGCAGACCATCTGAAGGGTCCTGGAGGGTAGTGAACCCAAAGAGGAGCACGGGAGCTCCCTCCGGCTCCCACCTGACCATACTTTGCCCTGTGTACTCTTTCATCTGTATCCGTGGTGATGTCCTTTATAATAAACTGATTCTCATAGGTAAACTGTTTCTCCCAGTTTGTGAGTTACTTTAATTAAACAAACCAGAGGGAGTCATGGAAATCCTAATTCATCACGAGACCATCAGAAGCTCTGGATGCCTAGACTTAAGGTTGGCATCTGCCATGTGGGGCTTCCCCCTTGGACTTGTGGGGTGCGACTTTACTTCTCCACAGGTAGTGCTGGAATTGAATTGAAGTATAACGCCATCTCCTCAAAGCTCCTGGCTTCCATGAACACAGGCTCCTCAGGCTGCCTTCTTCAGCTGGCTAGAGTGTTGTCTGTAGAACACCATCACAGACTCCTCTAGCTGAAGCTATCCCATGGACGTGCATACAACGAGAATCCAACCTTCCTCCTCCGGCCACAGCAATGCTCGCTCCCAGAATCCACCAGGCTTCTCACCTTCACAGCGCATGCCAGTTCCTCCTTCCGTTGAGCCTGCCCCTCCTGCAGATGGCTCATGATTCTCTCCAGAATTTACTGTGTGCATTTCCTCACCGTTGCTGGTTAGTCTTCATCGTCAGCTAAGCAGAACATGAGCGGTAAGGAGGTTTCTGTCTGCCCCAGATGAATAGGGTAGGTGAGATAGGAGCAGGAAATGAAGACATTAGAGATGACCCACGTGTTCTCCTCTTCAGTCTTAGCTAGCCACTGGTTTTCTCTTGTCTGAATGTTTCTCTTTATTTTGTCCAAATCAGAAAACTGATATTATTTTCAGGGCTGCTTCTCCCTTACTTAGGTTATTTGGGCTTATTCAATAGGTTTTGAAACGATAAAATAATTTTTTTTAAATTAAAATCACGTCCTATTTTTCTCCTTCTGGAGGATCCCAAATTCATTAAGGAGCGTGATCGACTTCATGGGAAAATGAGCGTCTGAGGTGTGGGGCAGGTGGAGAGGTGAGGGTATTTTTCAGGACGACTCACATGCAAATCAGTGCGAGCAGCAGGTTGAGCCTTCTGCAGTTCCCAGGGGCAGCCCTGGGGGAGGGCGAGTTTCAGTTACCTCCGGCCTTCTCTGTTGACTCTGTGCGTCGACCCTCAGCAATGCTTTTGTAAAAACAAACAAAAACAAAACACCTCCCCCTTGTAGCTTTAAAAATGATTCACGTGGTAAGAAACTACTCAGGGACTATGACTTAATTCTCACTTGTCAAATCATTTAGCTAAAGAACTCAGCTAAACAGTGAGTCTCTAGAGTGAATTTTTTAAATAGTTTTTTAAATTAATTAATTTATTTATTATAGATTTCTGCCTCCTCCCCGCCACCACCTCCCATTTCCCTCCCCCTCCCCCAATCAAGTCCCCCTCCCTCGTCAGCCCAAAGAGCAATCAGGGTTCCCTGCCCTGTGGGAAGTCCAAGGACCACCCACCTCCATCCAGGTCTAGTAAGGTGAGCATCCAAACTGCTTAGGCTCCCACAAAGCCAGTATGTGCAGTAGGGTTTTTATACGACCACACTAACGTTTCATAAATGTGCCCTGGGACTTGGCTATTATTTATAGAGAAAGGAACTGTTAACTAGAAATGTGTTTGTCTGTGGTTGTGTACATACACACATATATGTTTAAATTGGATTTCTACATATAAAGTCTAACTTTTATTTTTAGTCACTAAAGTTGAGAAAACTACTTTATCCCACTATTGGGGTTCAAAAGACATTTGGAAGAGGGAGTACCTCAGCTGAGGCTTCAAAGTCTACTCCAATTTATTGATGATACTGAGAGAGCCACATTCTCTACAGATCCTCCGGCATCTTCAGAGACCAGAGATGCTGTGAGAACCTGAAAATCCGGTTACAGCCAAGCCAGTGGGCACCCCAATAGTCTCTCAGTGCCTGCTTTAGAACTGCAGTTTTAGTGAATAACTGGGAAAAGCAAACCGTGAAGAAGGCCCTTGAGGTCCAGCAGTGAGATGCTGAAATGACACCATACTCCACGGAGTTCCCATTTCGTCTTGGAAAAAGCCCACATTTCCAGTTCCCAGAAGAGCTTTCTCAACTTTACCTAGACTAGACTTCCCCCACCTGGATCCCGAGAGGGCCGTAAAGTAGATTCATAAAGGGCATGGCTTGACATGGGAAGTTCTTGAATGGCAAGGCAACTCAAGTTTCATTATGTCGAGGAACTTTGAGGAAGTTACCAAATCCACGATTTAAAAATATGTTTCCTATTATATAGATAGACACACCTACTTTCTAGAATTAAAACCCAAGATTCGTTCTGTTGTTAACTCTTTATGCTGGGTAACTCTGTACGTACGTCAAGATGGTCACAGATCCAGAAAGGGCTTGAAAGAGGTGGGGAAAGAGGACAGTAGTTAAGGTATTTGGATTTTGAAGATAAAATTGAAGTCTGAGATCTTATGACTCGAGATGTTTTGTTTTTAAAGCGCCTACTGCCCAAGAACTGAAGATTTAAAGTCGGGTCCCCCAGCACCCACAGATAAGAGACTGAACCCCGGAGTGAGATGGTATGGGGGTGGGAAGGAGCGGGGATCCCTGGAGCACACTGGCCGCTGAGTCTAGTCAGCTGCAAACGCGAAGTTGGGTCAAAGAGACCCTCTCTCAAAGAGCAAGGTGGGGAGGTGTAGAGAAAGACAACCTAAGGTGGATCTCTGAGTCACAGGCACCCTCCCCTCCTCCAATCCCTACCCTTCCCTTGCGGCCACTTAAATAAGAGCTCAGAGTTGTTGATTCAGAACCGGTTCTTTTAGGAAACCTGATTTACAAGAAAGCGAAGGCAAGTTTCACTTTCACTTTTAGTTTCGTTTTTTTTAAAAAAATAGTTTTGTTTGTTTGTTTGTTTGTTTTTTTTTTCTTTCTCACGACACGGTCTCACTATTGTAGCCCTGGTTGTCCTGGAGCTCGCTGTGTAGACCAAGCCGACCTCCAATTCATAGAGATCCATCTGCCTCTGTCTCCCGAGTACTGAGATTTAAGGCGTGCGTCACCACGCCGGACCCTAGTTCGTTTTTCTATAAATTCAGTATCTTATCCCCCAAGTTGACCCTGAAGCCTTCAGCAGGAATTCCAAAGGGACAGGTTTTTTGCGTGAGGCTGGGAATTTCGGTTTCGGGGCGGAGGTGCTCAGGGTTCCCGCCCAGAGTGGGCGGGCCTGCGCTATAAGGTCGGGGGACTAGCTAGCGTCTGGCCACACAAGTCACACTGCACCTGCAGGTCGCCGCCTGTTTCCCCGCCTACAGGTAGGGAGCGTCTTCACGCCGATTCCCGAGACCGCGGCTTGCAGGGCACTTTAGAGCCAGACTCCTAGACCCTTTGAGGATGGAGAGAGAAGAAGGCAACAGGGAAACACGATGGGTTAATAGGCAGCAGAGCCCTGCACGGCTAAGATCTCAGAATCTGTCTGGTGATAAGGCACCGTTAGCGTTACTGTGTGTGTTTATGAATCCGGTCTTGGGGTAGGTAGCTGGGTCAGAAGAGTTGTCCTAGCGCGGCTTTAATGGTTCATTAGGAATGACTAGGTAAGTCGTCCCACTTGAAGCATCTCCTGAGGTCCCTTCCTCTGCCAAGATCCAGGACGCTGGAGCCTAAGATTTTTACTCTATCTGCCCAGAGGACCTAAAGGAGTCTTGGAAGAGGAGCAGAAGAACTTAAAACAATGCCCAGACATTTCTTAGACACATTGACCTTGGCTATATCAAGGTTTAGCTTGGGGTTATCGAAAGTACGGTGTTCTATCTTACTTATTTTTAATCTGAACAAATGATTGTGGATGCTTTCCTATGAATTAAATAGCCAGTTTTTTTTTTTAATTGCTGTATTCCATTGGGCTGGATAATTAAGGGCACCGCTCTCCCACGGATAGATGCTCAGGTTATTTATAGCAGGTTGCTAGCTTAGTCATTCCCTGGTCATCACTATGTGCGGTTGCCTGGAACATAGCTGGGCATTTCCTTTAGATAAACTCTTAAAGCTACCTAGTTATGTCTGGCTATCTGAAAGACCTTTATATGGAAAAAATAAACAAGATGCGTTCCAGAAAGTATATGCAGCTGACAATGGCAGTGACTGGCAGTATTTAGGAAGAACTTTATACTCTGAAAATAGTAGCCTTTTCCAGCTGAACAGCACAGACAGGAGGTCGTGGCAGCAGTTACAGTCCTGAAGGCGGTAGTGAGAGGGAAGGAGTTCAGGCTTTAGGATCATTTGATAGAGTTCGAAACGTGGGGTAAATCTTCACTCTTACTTGTGAGAAAGGAAGCTTGCGGCTGCTCCCCTCCCGCCTTCTGTGGGAAGACAGAGAAGCTGTGCTCCAGGGTGCTCTTCTGGACTTCCCGGGGACAAACTTATTTCCTCATCTTGAATGAGCTGTCATTTCTTCCACTGTTCATACTTTGGTGCCCGGTCTCTGCTCTCGGCTGGGAATTCAGAAAACAGTACAGTTTCTTGCCCAAGGAAGAAGAAGATCCTGTCCTCTTAGACCAACTAAGAGGTGCAGGCTCAGAGGTCAAGACCACGTTTATTCACGTGGTCCCTGGGCTTCCTCTTTTCCCCTCCCTCTACCAACAGCTGACAGCTGTGCTCTGAGAGCCAGGGAAGGGAGGGTATGGTACTGAATTAGGTGAGTATCAGACCCAGCTCAGCGTCCTTTGGTACGTCATCCTGTCTCATCTCCTTGGGCAGATGACCTGAGAGAAAGATTTGAAATATGTGCCCAGTGTTAGCAAGAGGATAACGAATCATTCTATTTTGCTCTTCTGATAAATGTTCCCCCCTCCTTTTTTTTTTTAAAGACAGTGTCTCACTATGTAGCTCAGGCTGACCTCAAACTCAAGATCCTCCTGCCTCAGCCTCTCAGCTGCTGTTACATCCTGCCCTTTTCTAACCTCAAGGGTTTATAATAGTCAATAAGACGCCTATAACCTTAAGAGACAAAATAATTGATCAAGTAATTATCATGAACTAAACATTTCTTCAAAAAAAAATTCAAGCTGCATTTTCCAAGAATTGAATTAGAAAAAAAGTAAATAAAAAATAATGTCGGCACGGTGGGAAGATGCAATGGGACCAATTTTCAGAATGTGTCAAGAATTGGGAAAGTGCTTTCTCCTTTGACCAGCAATTCTCGTTAGGGAAATCTATCTTCCAGGCCTAACCTTAGACCTGGCACACAATAGGTACTCACCAAACATTGGCTAAATAAACAAATACTTATGATTTTGAAAAAAAAAAAAAGGACCAAAAAAAAAAACCCAACACCTAGCAATAAAGGAGTTAAATATTAAGGCCCATTAGATACAAGACTTACAGAAATTATGTCACAATCTTACACTTTTTTTTTTTTTTAACAATTTTACACTTTCAAATGGCTAGTAAATGTATAGAAGAACTGGGACTAGAAAGATGGCTCAGGGCTTTCAAGCACTTTCTGCTCTTCTTGGGGGACCCACAGCCCTCTGTAACTCCCACTCCAGGGAATCTGATGCCCTCTTTTGGTTTCTGTGGGCACCGGGCACACATGTGGTACGCATACATACAAGCAGGCAAAACATCCCTACACATGACATGAATAAATCTTAAACATGTAGAGAAGAGCTGTCTCATTGTAGGGGAAAAAGTGGAAAGGAATCTATCTACAGACACGCTCAGAGTGGCCACAGTTTCTCCATCTTGCACCAGTGGCTCTGCGGGCCAGCTCTGTTTCTGCTGTCAGGTGCTGTCCTGTGTCTTGGGAGAGGTCTTGGCAGCCTTCGGGCCTCTCTATCATCACATCAGAAGCGGCTCTCCTCCTTCCCAAGCAAACTTGGGCAACCAAATCTGTTAGCCAATATTACCGAATGCTCCCTGAAGGGAGTGTATGTGATGGACGCACGGTTGTTTCTGTAACAACGGCAGAGCATTAAAATAAACTGATGTGGTCACTTCACCTCAGTGAAGATGTCTAGACTCCATTTCCAGGGTCCTTGCCGTTCCATCACTTCATCCGCCAAACACTCGGGAGTTTGGTGGTGAAATCATTCATTTTGTTCTAACAATAAAAGTAAAGCATCCGTTTATTCGCTCATTTGAAAGTTGGGTGCACACGTGAAAGACAAAGAAACCACTCGTGGTTCCATCTCTCCTTTTCTGTCTTTCTTCCTTTAAAATTGCAAACGGGTGAGAACTTACCTGTGTTCCCTATAAAACGTTGCACTGCAGATAATCATGGTCAGGCAGTATCTTCAGAAGGGCTTGAGGGTTTCTTTAAACCACAAGTATATTTTTGCATTATGCACCGCCCTCCAAGTTCCTTCCTATGACTTTGCAAACTCATTCCCTGTGCATGTTGTAAATTCTGCCTCTCATAGTCTTCGGAGTACATACAGGTTTATTCGCCTTGACGCTGCATGGGATGTTTCAAGTCTGGGGCTGTTGTTAGCCCTGCCATCCCTGCTTTATCTGTGTTTATTTGTTTTCCTACAGTGGATTTCTAAGTCAGGGAAAAAGAGATCATATGACATACACAGTTAAAGTTTTAACAGAGATTACCACACAGGTCTTTAAAAAGCCGTACAAAGAGTTTCACATCCTTAGCAATGAAAGTCCAGAAATCCTGTCTACCTGTATTTCACTAACACTAACTATAAGGAAGCTATAATTTTGGAAGAGCAAAAGGTCAAAAATGTTATCATAAATCTTGAATATACTTTCTTAGAAAGAGTGTCCTTTCCTATGTCTGTATTTATTATTCTCTGAATTATGTGGGGCTCTTGTTTATTTTCCTCCCAACCCATGTATAGTTTTCTTACTGAGTTGCAGAGAGTGAATGCCCACAGCCCCTGTCTTCCGCTTTATATGGCTGTCAATAGATTGTGTGTAGACACAAAGGCCAAGGAGACGCTAGGAAGGAGGACTGACTTTCCTATGAAAGTTGTAGACATGAGTAACACAGAAGAGAGATGTTAACGAATAGATTGGCTGGGGTGTAGTACTAACTGTCTTTGGCCACCCTTTTTGGACATCAATTCCAAGGAAGAATGCCTTTTGTTTCTTGCTCACTGATCCTCAGTGCCCCAAACAGTGCCAGACTCAAGAAGAGATATTCAGTGTTTCCTGAGTGAATTAGAAAAATGTCAGCAGAATAGAGATCAGGATCTGGACAGCTACATCAGAGAGTGGTCCTGAGGCGTCCAGACCTTAGTAAACGGGCCAAATCAAATTCTCCTCCCTTCCCACTCCTGTTATTGGTATACTTTCTCTCTTTATTGGGAAGAAGTATTATAATTTGGAGTAGGTAAGAGGCAGAGGGGAGATTTAAAGATTTTAAGATTTCAAATTCAATTTAAGCATTGAAAAGTGAAAGTGAAAATCAGATTTTCTTTGCTCTGAAGCTTTACAGATAATTCTCAGTGTTGAAAAGGTGGTGCAGTGGGAGGGGTTGGGGAGGTATTTTTCCCTTGGCTTATTTTGAATGTACATTATCGCCTTGGAGGGCTTATAACTCAATGTGAAGATGTTCGCCTCACCAGACCAATTTCTCCTCACTTGGTTCCATAGAGCCTTGAGTTAGGAAAGGAAAGTCCCAACCTTTCAGCTTTGCAGCTGTCTCCACACTCCACAGAGTGTACTTGGTTCCGGCTGGCTTATCTGTGCGTCCCATCCTGGCTCCTGGAGGTTATTTCTATATGAGCAGGACAGGTCTTCCTCTGATGGCACACTGTTTGGCTATTTGAGTTAAGCAGTACTCCTTCTGTGTCTCCCATTTCTAGATAATTCCAGAAGCATGAGGATATTTACCATCGCTACATTCACAGTCTGCTGTCACTTGCTAAGAGGTAAGTCTCCAAATCTTTTCAGTGGGTTCTGTATTTTTGGTATTGTAACCTTGAGTTAAAAATTGAAGTACTTTGGGTGTGTATGCATATGAAGTGTGTGTGGTGGGGGGGGGGTGAATGCACACATGCATTTGCTAGGCACACATGTGGAGGTCAAAGGGCAACCCTGAGTGTTGGGCCTCATCTTCTACCTTGTTTGAGACAAGTTCTCTTATTTGTTGTTCATTGCCTAGTACTGCAGGCAGCTGGCCCCAAACCTCCTGGGGATTCTCCTGTCTCTACCTCCCACCCCACTATAGGAGAACTGAAATTAAGATGGCGGGTACATTCTGTTGTAGCTGGCTTTTAACATAGGTTTTGGGATGAACTCGGGTCCTTATGTTGCATAGCAGGTAGCTTACTTGCTGGGCGATCACTCAAGTCCTCAAAATAATTTAAGGGAGTGTATCTTACTTATTAAAAGCACACTCTAGTTTTCCTTCTTCGTAAACAAGTTACTTGTATCATTGTAAAAGATGAAGGAAAATACAGGAGCTGTAGGTAGAATTTAGTAGTGGAACTCTTGTCCAGCATGATCAAACTCTGAATTCCATATCCCAGCACTGGAAACAAACAAAAGCAAACATAAAAAATTTTAAAAAAATTACAAAGACCTGCAGGAGGGTGGTGAATATAAAAATAGAGTTACTACAAAACAGAAAGATTGTCCATTTCCCATGGACAACTCCTAAAGATCCCTGGGAAATGGCCCACTGGTAAGATATTTGTATTTATTGATTTCTTATAAACAAGGCTGGGAATATGCTATCTAAGTTGCTTGTGCTCTTCCCAGTGAAGATGTTTTAAAGAAGAATTTTAGTGTTCATGCAATTCAACAAATAAAATGATTGTAACCTTTTACCCATTTTCCAAATGTGTTTGGAGGACTTTTCTGTCTTCTGAAGGCCGGTCCGCTTTCTTTTCAGCCTTCACCATCACGGCTCCCAAGGACCTGTACGTGGTAGAATACGGCAGCAATGTCACGATTGAATGCAGATTCCCGGTAGAACACAAGCTGGACCTGCCCGCCTTAGTTGTCTACTGGGAGAAGGACGACCAACAAGTTATCCAGTTCGTAGATGGAAAGACAGACCGGCAAGACAGCAGCTTCAGGGAGAGAGCCTCGTTGCCAAAGGAACAGATTTTAAAGGGAAACGCGGGGCTTCACATCACGGACGTGAAGCTGCGGGACGCCGGGGTTTACTGTTGCATGATCAGCTATGGCGGCGCGGACTACAAGCGGATCACACTCAAAGTCCACGGTAAGAGTTCCTCCGGATAAGGAAGTCTTGACCTCCGTTTGCTTTTCATTGTTGGAAGTCCACACCTACTTTTCACAGAACAATAGCAGCCTGTTCGTCCATTCATTGGTTGACTAATTCATTCATAATCTCCGCCAATGAATACTCCTAGCGTCTCGTGTCTGACAGTAACTTGAGATCCAGTACCAGATAATGCACAGCCCTGCTCGGCAGCACTGTGAGCTTTCAAAGGCTAAGTGCCAGGTGTTTGCCTCTTATTATTGTAAATGCAGTATATACACTTAGAAATAATTTGGATATCATGGAAAGGAATAGAATCATAAAAATGTCCTTCCTCCCTTCAGTACCATCATCCATGGCGGGCATATGCTATTTGTGTATCCCTCCAGAACCTTTTTATAGAATAATTTTTTTTTTTTTTTTAATTCTATCAGGCGCCTGGTGCTGGTGGCGCACGCCTTTAATCCCAGCACTTGGGAGGCAGAGGCAGGTGGATCTCTGTGAGTTCGAGACCAGCCTGGTCTACAGAGCTAAGTTCCAGGACAGGCTCCAAAAGCCACAGAGAAACCCTGTCTCGAAAAAACCAAAATAAATAAATAAATAAATAAACAAATAAACAAATTCTATCAGGCTTAGCACATTTTCCTTCCCTTGAGTATTTCCATATAAAATCCAATATACATACATACATACACAAACACACACACACACACACACACATACACACACGTAGCCTGCTGTAAGATTCACATTCAAAAAGACAAGGTTCATCTATGAAGGATGAAAACCGATGATGTTAAGTATAGAAGAAGCCATTCTTCCACAGAGATGGTACAAGCCACGCTCGTCTCCAGGGTTTGTGTCAGGGTCACTTGGGAGTACACCGAGGAGGCACTACTGGTATAAGTTCCTGGAAAAGGACTCCCAGAAAATATCAGCAGGTCACTAGAGTTCAAGGCTCTGGGTTGGAACTAGCTAAGGGAAGGAAATTACCTTACTAACCACCCCTGCTTTCGCTGTTGGGTTTCATAGAACTGAGAGTTGCACCCCTCCCAAGCGTTCACACAGGCAATCCAAAGGCCTGCCAGGACCAGAATTTCCCCAAGGCTCCTCGCTTCATATACTTCCCAAAGCGGCGTCCCTTCAGTTTGGAACCCCCTTCCGTGGTCTGCCAAAACTTCTCCCTGATTGACAGTGAGCTGAACTCTCTCTTCCCCAGGCATATGCTTGAGACAATCTGCCTGCCTCTTTTGGTTTTCATAATAAGCTGTTAAATATTTGACTAGAATTAGGTAATCTCCTGTAATCCTTTTATTCCTAAACTAGTGTGAAGGTCAGTATTATGAAAAAAACTGGAAAAGTTCACACTTCTTCTAAGGCATCAAGATAACTATTATCTAAAACGTTATGTAGAAGTTAGGGTAATGTGTCCAACTGATGGCATATGAATGGGTCTCTGATGCTGGATCTCTTGAAGCTACCATTGTTATAAAAATATCACTTGTCTTTATTGTCATTGTCTTTTGTGACATCCATGAATGAAGGGATGTGGTTGTTCATATCTTGAGCGCGTGTTAGCTCATCAGCAAATATGAGGTGTCTATTTTGTTCCAAGGCATTTAAAGGCATTATGAAGCCTGAAGTTCATGATCAGTCAAGGTTGCTGAACCTGAAGTAAGGGGAAAGACCAATCCTAGCAGTCAGGAAGAAGGAAGCATAGAGTTTAAGTCTCTGTGTCCAGACGTCTCCTGTGACTCGTTGGGAGTAGCTGACTTTGTGGCGAGGATGACTGTCTTCTAGATCATCCGCTCCACAATGTCTCTGATGCAAAAGGCAACCTTCTGGCTGATGACTTCTCCGTGGAGGGAGATTTGGTGGGGCAAAGCTGATGACCAAGCAGACTTGAAGGTCTGCTTGTGTCAACGTTTCATTTTCTCTTAGACATCGCTACCTTGGCGTTCTACTCCCATCTCATCTTGTCATTTGCAGCCAGTGGTTTGGGAGCTTAGATGAGCTAGACCAAGGAATTTGAACCTGGGCTTTGTGGCTTTGGTGAGTGTCTGGGCTCAAATCCAGCTATTTGAGAGGCTGAGACAGGAGAATCACAAAGTAGGGCAAAATAGGGCCTTGTCTGGGATATGTGTGTGTGTGTGTGTGTGTGTGTGTGTGTGTGTATGGGATATATACTCCTTGTCTGGGATACACAGACACACAGACACACACACACAGACACACACACACACACACACACACACACACACATATAATGTTCAAGGTTAGCCTGAGCAACTTTAACAAGACCCTTTCTCAAACAAACAAACAAACAAACAAGATTAAGAATAGGAACAGGACTGAGGACATAGGACACAGCTCAGCGGTAGAATACTTGCCCAGTCTGTGTGGAACCCTGGGTTCCATCTCTAGCACCTTGGTGGCTGGCACGTAGGAGCTTTGCATGCAGAGGAAGTAGAACTCCTGAGTCATCTCCCATGCAAATGATTTCACAGTAATGCTGCTGCCCTTTTTCTCTTCCCATTACTGCAAGTGTGTGGCAATAAAGCTCCCTGGGAGGGTGGGCACTCACCCTGGGATTTTAAAGGTGAAGCATTTCAAAACTGAAACGTGAAAGGCTGTAGTTTTGTATTAACTCAATTGCCATGATCTCTTCGGGTGCTATTATACTTTCGAAAGGTTACAGAAGACCCCCCAGGTATCTGGCTTTCAATTGAAATCCTTAGCTTTAATCACTGAAATTAATATCATAAAAAATTGAAATGTTCATTTAATGTTTCTGGGACCTTAAATGATATTGAGCGGCTGTAGGAAACATTTTAATCATATGGATAGATGATTAAGGCCCACCAGATCCCCAAGTCCTGTTTAAATCTTTTCTGTGTCATCTATCTCTATCTAGTATGTCTCAGAATCTCATGTTTATTCTTTCTTTCCTTCGTCTGGAACACAAACCGGAGGGGCAGGGGTTGGGTCTGTTTTATTCATTGTTGGGCCCCTACGCCTTGGCATATGATGACGTTCCTGTGCAACAAGAAAAGAGAAGAATATTTGTTGAAGGAAGGAATGGTTGTTTCAAAAACCATTAGTTTAAGATGTTCGTCCTCTGAACAGACTTGAATATGGGAAAACTGATTGCCACGACTGTTTGCCAAGAGCTGTAAGAACTTTCTGAAGACCCACTGAAGAAGTGATAAAAAGGGGAGGAACACTGTGTTCCTGGTCCTCCTCGTCTGGCTGGTGGTAACAGGAGCAGTTGCACAATGCTTAGGCAACTCCTAATACATGTTAGGCCATGATCCTGGGCTTTTTGCTCATATGAATTCATCTAATCTTTAACACGACGCTGTGGAGGAGACCCTTGATCATGGCCATTCTGGGTCTTTTCCTTCTTACTATCTTTCAAATCTGAATGTGTCTTTCAATGGATGGCATCTTAGATTCAATGATATGTAGCCAAAGAAGTAATGCATCTAAAATGATAAAGCCGGTCCTAAACCTAACTAGCTCGTTTCTGAAATCTGTGCCCTTAACTAGCTGTGCTTTGCTGCCTAGCTTTGGGCCGCTGGAGTGTGCATCAGGCTGAGCAATGACTTTAAACTAAACTGAACTCTGCTTGGTCTTGATCAGCCAACTAGGTAGCAGAGTGTTCTAGATCTGAGCCAGAGTTTTCAAAACAAACAAAACAAAACTTGCTCATCTAGCCTTTCTGTAAAGCGCCACAAACTTGCATGTAATTATAAAATATAAAATTGGCACCAACACATAGTTTATATCATACGAAATTGCCATTTTGAAGATCAAAAGAAGATAACTGTCATTGATTTCATATAGTTGGCTCCACCTAACACATGATCTGTTCTTGAAATGGACAAAAATAGACAAAATCCCAAAGGCGAAATAATTGGAATAAACAATATGTGTAATGTCTTGCCAGTCGTGACAGCATCAGTGTATATTATGATGAAATTCACCATTAACAAATGGAGATGGTCTCAATCATCTTGAAGCTTATTTTAGCCAATGCTTTATCGTATCCTACTCAGTATTTGTTTTTAACTTCAGAAAGTGGATGATGAAGTCACTTCTGACATTTTGTTTTGCTTTGTGTGGAATTGTTAGTCTTATCTTCAAGCCTCTGTTTCTATAAGGAGACTTTTGAACGAGCTCATTAAAAAAAAAAAAAGGTTAATTCAGTTAAAAGTAGACACGGGGAATGGGTCTGTAGTTCAGCTGGTAGAGTGCTTGCCTGCCAGTCATGGAGTTCTAGTTTAAAACCCGATGTGGTGGCACACGCTTGCCTGTAATTCCTGCACTCAGGAGGTAGAGCCTTCTCTTTCGCTACACGTGAAACTCTCAGCCAGGCGGTGGTGGCGCACGCCTTTAATTCTAGCAGAGGCAAGCAAATCTGTAAGTTCAAGGCCAGCCTGGTCTACCAGAGCTAGTTTCAGGACAGCTAGGGCTGTTACACAGAGAAACCCTGTCTCGAAAAACAAAAACAAAAACAAAAAAAATGAAAGAAACTCTTTCTCAAAACCAAACAAACAAAAAAAAGGAGAATTTGAAAAATCCACAGTAACCCTCTTTCTTCCTGTGGCCGACAGTGACGTACAGTGACTGCCATCAAGGCTTATGAGGCATACATAATTTAACAGGCACTATAGCAAACACATAAGTAGAAGTTCTTACATTTTAATGTTGCGTCTTCATGCATGTGCCCATCTTAGACATGAAAGCTGTGGGGGTTGAATCAGTGTGGACGAGTCAGCTCTTCGGTTCACCAGGCTCTCCTTCAACGAAGGCCCCGGAAAAGTGAGAATAGAAAGCAACTATTTCACTCCAAATGCTTTATCATTGACAGTGATTTCAAATGTAAACCTTTAATTCCCAGAAAAATTAAATCTTGTGCAATGTGGGATAGACTCTATTGTGGTGACATTATTTCACCAAGTGCCTATTTAATAAGGTATAATCAGTAGTTTTATTTTTAATTGTTCTTAAATATGACAAATACAAGACTAAGGGCTCAAGTGTCCATAAAAGCCCTTTTGTGTTTTGAAATCATAATTGTGCCTATTTTATTGGTGGTCATTTTCTTGAACTAAGGGCAACAAAGCATCATGTCATTATTTCAGTTTGCTTTATACTAGCTGCTCTGTGTCAGATTTCTGTGAAAATATGTTGCAACACTCTTATTATGTCTTTGGCTGGGAGTAGGTAATAAAGTCTCTCTCCTCGGCGCTAAATGGCTCATTAAAGAATTGAGGGCAGAATAATGATTATTGATTTAATAGATATAATTTATATTTAGATAGAAAGGCCTTTGGTTTCAAGATGATAATTTACTTTATTTATTTGAGACATTTAGTTTGAGCCCAATAAGCTCGCCGGTGCGATTATTCCTGCAATGTGATTGTTCCTTAAGCCCAAATGTGGCCCAGATTTGAACAGAAAACCTGAGGCAGACTAGCACGCACTCCCTGAGCTGAGCTGGCGACATAGTTCCCCAAGAACTGGCCCAAGTTGATAGTATTTGTAAGCAGATAGCACCTGCGATGGGAGAGAGCCTTGACCTCTTTTTGCTTATGACCTAGCCCCGTACCACAAAATCAACCACAGAATTTTCATGGATCCAGCCACGTCCGAGTACGAACTAACATGTCAGGCTGAGGGCTACCCAAAAGCTGAAGTCATCTGGACCAACAGTGACAACCAATCCCTGAGTGGCAAGACCACTGTCACCGCTTCCCAGACAGAAGAGAAGCTTTTCAACATGACCAGCACGCTGAGGATCAACGCAACGGCTAACGATGTTTTCTACTGCACGTTTTGGAGACTACAGTCAGGGGAAAACTACACAGCTGAGTTGATCATCCCAGGTAAACTGCCTAATTCTGTCCCTTGTCCCCTCGCATGACAGTTGTCCGTCATAATCACCCAGTGCCAGCTGACCGAGTGCGTGGATAAACAGCACTTAGGTTTATTAAATGTATGCTATTTCCTCATTTTCTTGCACGCTAGCTATAGTCCTACTTAAAAAAAAAAAACATTCAGCAAGTGTTTATTGAGCGTTCGCCCATGGCAAACTGTATGTTAGGCATTGAGTGTTCGCAGATGAATAGGACAAAAGTCACCGTGCTCCAGGAGAACAGGGGGACAGCTGCAATGTAGGAAACACTGTCGCAGCTGGGGCACCGTGGGGGCATGAGATAAGGACTCAAGTTATGCTTCAGGAATCAAAACGTTATCATACTGGAGCTGCTCTCTTCTCTCCAGGGCTTCTGTAGTAGGAAACAAATGCTTTGTCCTTTCGTCTTAGTCTTAGGATGAAGGATCCTTTCCCCCTCGGTTGCTCCGATGTTTCAACTCCAGGAAGTCTGCCTTGTGCGTAGAACACGAGCCTGTTGTCTTTTGACAACCTACTACATTTCTGTGTGGGTCACGTGCCCTGTAATGGTTGTAATTCACCTGCCAAGGTTATCGTAGAGACAAAATGAGCTGTAGATAAGTTCAGCTATTTTTTAAGCTTGTTACCTTACAGAAATAGACGGGACGGGGGACAGCCAGGTGAGAGGCTCAGAGCGTTAGGAGAACTTAAATCCAGGGAGTTCTGAGGAGAGTTGCTTCTGCTTCATCTCCTCTCCAATGTCCACCAGCAGTAGTGCTCTAGAAAGTTTAGGAAAAAAGAAATAAAACTACACAGAAAAGTCAACCAATATGAAAATTCAGCCCAGGATGGACTTGGAACCAGACAGAGCAAACACGTGTAGAAAACCAGGAAGACGGCCTAACTGAATTGGGCGCTCTCGTAAAAGCTGTGTTACTGGGTTCCTACCATTCGATGCTGTTTTATGAGGCTGGAGATGTAGCTCTGTTGGGAAGGTACTTGCCTGGCATCCACAAAGAGCTGACACCCAATACCAGAGAAGCCTGGTGATGTAGGGCTCACCTGTAATCCAAACACTTGGGTGGCAGAGGCGAGAGGCTCAGAAGTTCAAGGTCATCTTCAAAGCCAGCATGGATTACAAGAGACTGCTTCAGAAACAAAACAAGCGAACATCATCACAATAAAACAACAAAACGCTATTTGATGGCAATTTATTTGTGGGGCATCCTGGAGTAACTTACTTAGCCCCTCTGTCTATTTGCCTGTAACTTGGGTTTGTTTGGTTTTATAAGAAACAGTTGGTAGGTTTAACATCTGTTACTTTGAAATGCAAATACAACATTTGTGAACAGGCTTTATAAACCGTGTAGTTAAGTATTGTGGATCTCAGTTGATTCATAGTGGGGACAAACAGAAACTGATTTACAACAAGAGATGGGAGTTGGCAATCCCAAAGCATCCTTGTGCCCTGGGACCTACCTTTCCCAAAACTTCAGACAGAGACCCTGGCATGAGAAGCCAATGACTAGAATGTCAAGAGAGTTTCAAACATGAAGGACTAAAAACACACATTGGTCCGTGATCACCACCACAGGTGTGGGAGGCGGAAGCTGCTTAACAGTGCCCAGTGGTCTCCCATTTTCTAGAGTGGGCTTTCCATGCCATGTTGGCTGTTAGTGCCTATATTACAGAGTGCACAAGGAACTTACTTCACCGAGGTCCCCATTTAATATTACAGTCACTTTCTGTGGCCCTATGCTAAACATGTCACAGATAGCCACACAAGACATCCCCTAGCATTTCTGTTTGATAGGCTGAAACCTTTGGAGGTTTCAAAGTCAATCCGCAGTGGTAGAATTCAGTCTTGGAGGTTTCAAAGCCATTTGAGGGAGAAGTGTTCAGTCTGTTTCACGTGCGCAAGCCCTGACTGGCCATTGACTTTTAGTAAGTAAGATTACCCTAAAGCCAAACTAGATTTCAGGAATGACCATTCTCCTGACTATTTCCTTGCAAGCAAAACCTTATCTTTAGTCGGCATCTTTCAATTCTGTTTTCCAGAACCACCTGCAGAATTTCTCCCAAATAAGAGGACTCGATGGGTACTTGTGGGATCATTTCTACTGTCCTTTGTTGCAGTCCTAGTCCTAGCCTTCTTCTGCCTAAGAAAACAAGGTATTTCCTTCACTGCTGTGGTTTCTGTGCTGCCTGGAGAAAGTCCGCGAAGGTCTTCTTACCACGATATTGATTAGGCAGTGTCAGAGACAGCACCTACTCTAACTTGATAAGGGCAGCCCCGTACCACAGGGAGCTGCCTGACCCAACAGGCTAGCAGAGCCTTCCTGGGAAACACTTGACCTTGAAGGTTGTGCCTTTCACTTTCAGTTAGAAAAAGTAAGTTTGAGCTGTCACTCCGGTGAGCCATGTCTTCCTTCAGCCCTGCTCACGTAGCTGTTCCGCTGCATCTCCTACCTGGGAGTGTGCCGTTGGACCGTGTTGTATTTTGGAGGGGTGTGAGTTGGACAGGGGTTTAGGGAAGCTAAAAGACTTAGCTTTGGAGGCAGCACTGCGGCGTCCACTGTTCAGTAGTTCACAGTAGAGCTGTGTGCAGTGCAGGGCCGAGGTGTAGGACAGGTGGCGGTGGAGGCTGAAGAAGACAGCTGTACGGCTCCTTTTTAACAAGTGAATAACCACAGACTTTGAAAGACCATTGTGCCCACTGGTCTCATTGAATTCAAGTTGAATTCCTTGCAACATCCCATCCAGCTGGGTCCTGGGTACCCTAAGTAGGGAAACATTTCTGTCTAAAACTGCTATCTTTACCACAAAGCATTTTTTTTTTTTTTGCAAACTTTCTGGAATCAATATGACAGAGTGTTTTAAGTAATTTTCATATATTGATTTCAGCATTTACCCATAAGAATGATTTAAATCTAGGAAAATGAGTGCATTCAAATAATGACATCCCCTTGTAAGATGACTTAGAGAAAACTTTTCCCCAGTGCTTTGAAGTGTATACCCAGAGAGCCAGTGATGTATGGACTTGCCTGAAGCCAAATAGGGAACTAAAATGTGGAAATGAACTTCAGTCTTCTGAGAGGAATTCCCCTTTAATCCTTTGGAGGATGAGTGTATGCGGAAAGCCATATAACTGAGGGGGTAGCAACCAGCTGAGTCCAAAGTACAGACCCTGACCAGAACCAAGAGAGTGGCCAAGATGTGACAGTAGGTTTCAGTGACACATCCGGACTAGGACTAGACTTGGGCTTGCGCAAGGAAGCGGTTGTTGCTGAACTGAGTCTGGAAAGGACTGATGGAGAATGAGTGTGGTAGAGAATCAGTAGGTAATAGAGTAGTTCAGGATGTTGGCCAGCTCTGAGGGTAGGACGGGAAACAAAATAGACAACTCTAGAGAGAGAGAAAGAGAACAGAGAGGGTGGAAGGGAGGGAGGGAGAGAGAGAGAGAGAGAGAGAGAGAGAGAGAGAGAGAGAGAGAATGTGTCCTAAGTTGTTGAATAATTAGCTTTGGGGTTTTGTACCTGGAATAAGGAAGCTTGTGGACTAGAAGTCCGGTGATTAAGATTGAGTAGTGCCTTATAAAAACCTTGAGTTGAAACTTGAGTCACTGTGGGTCATAGTGTTGTGCTCTACGGAATTAAGATCGATTTCTTTTTTTTTTTTTCTCATTCAGTGAAAACTCTAGATGTGGAGAAATGTGGCTTCGAAGACACAAAGTCAAAAAACCAAACCGGTGAGTTTGACAGAAGGGTTGGGTAAACGGGAGGACAATGCAGTTTGGTCCTGCAGGGCTGCGGTTGCAGCGCTCTGTAGGCTGAGGCAGGAGGACAGTGAGTTGCAAGCCTCCTGAACCACATGGCAAACAACATAAACAGGAAGAGGAAAAGGCTATTATAACAAAAGAAATCCACTAGTCCTGACCTCCCCTCCTTCCAAAGGAGCCTGTTTGTGAGGACCGAGGATTCCTCTGCCTCACAACTCCCACAACTGAGAGAATTCTGGGATGGTCCTGTATAGTAAAACTCAGCCCAGGGCTGCAAAGAGTTGGGAGCAGGAGGGGAGGGGCGCTTTTGTCTAAGCGGCTGATACCTTGGTAGCCCTGCAACCAGAGAGAGTGCTGAGTCAGATGAATGTGTAACTAAACCAATGGTTCTGCTGGGCGGTCAGCTGTTAACTCGTTCATGTGTGGGATATGGATTTCATTTCATCACGTGCCCTCAAGCACTCTTATAAATATGAGAACATAAAATAAGGTGGCAGGAACACTCAGCCTCGCCATGCACTTTCATTCCCATCCTATGGCCTCCACTTCATTCTGCTGCTAATGTCTATGTTTATAGGAATAGGAAACCCTCACTGCCCTAAATTTTTAAATAAGCTCTATCAAGTTTTCTAATTCGCTGTACTGTGGTTAGAACCCAAGGGTACCACGGAGCCCAGGCAGGATTAAAGCTGGCTCATGAACTTGAGCAGACCGGAGCAGGTTCCCTCCTGTGCACTACCATTCATGCTGCTGAGTTACCCAAGGAACCAGCCTAGCTTGCTCAGCTTGAGGGTTTCTCAGTCCAGCAGGTTTTCCATTTCAAAAACCAGGGCAGTCCCGGACAAACAAGGGTGTTTAGTCATCCGTCAGCATATGCAAGTGTTGCCAGATTTGTCTCTGTCTTATTGCAACCTTATCATGTGATCTAGCAAAATCCAACTTGTTTGTCTTGCACGTCTTCATGCATTTTCCCGCATACTCCCTGCCCCCGTGAGATCCCTCTGCTATTGTCCCTCTCCCTCCAGATACACAGTTCGAGGAGACGTAAGCAGCAAGGAAACCTCTGGTCTTCGAGGCGGGATTGGCAGTCTGTGGTCTGCGAATGAGGGGGCCCTTGGGATGTGGGTCCAAGGACTCGAAATGGAACCAGGGAAGACAAGAGAAGGGAGAAAAAGGCGAGCCTGGGGACAAACGACATTTCTGCAGGAGACACCAACAAGCAAGCTTACCCGTTAATCATCTTGGGAAAGTGGGCTGAGAACCCCTGGCTCAACATCTGGCCCTTGCAGAAGTGCCCTTTCCCTCCACTCGGTGCCTGGATGGGCGTCGGAGAGTCACAAGTGTGGAAGTATGAGTGTTCCTATTTATTTTGAGTTTGTGTATGCTTGGTGTGGGAGCGTGGCTGTGCCTGATGCGTTCTAAAGACATAATAGATGCTAACATACAGTCACCAAACTCTACTGCTGCTTACAGTCTTGTCCACAGGCAGAAAAGCATGTGCATATGTGAGGTGCTTGGTGTCCTCTGTGACTACTGGTATAAGCGGGACACATGGAGAACACATGCTTGGTTCAACAGGGCTTCTGCTATTTGACTTGAATAATCTTTATTCTCAGTCCTTGAGGCTCTGTGGTAGTAACTGTTCCATTGAAGTATCAGTTTTACAAGTGTCTGATACTACATGCAACAATCTCATTTCATCTCCATAGCAACAACCCTCAGGGTAACCTCTATTATACTCACTTCGCAGCCCAAGAAGCTGAGCAATTAAGTGATTTGCCTACAGAATAACAGCTATCAGATTTCTGTCCTTCAGCCACTGTCCTTTCAGGATTCAGTTTGTAGCTAAGAAATGAATTAAAAAACTGCTTAAGTAGCATTGATTTCACACAGCCTTGTGTACCATGCTGGCCCTGAGCATAGAGATGCAAGCCAGGGTACTGGTTGGATATGTGTATGCATATGCTTAAGTTCAATACTCTAAGCAATGTTCATTAACAAGGAGTCTATATTTAAAAGACTCTGGAAGTAACTCTTGAGTTCCTTGTCTAGCATTGGATTTACGTCTTATTTGTTACCTTCTTCATACAATCTCACATCCTCCTTGTAATATCTAGCATTGCTTAAAAGTTCTTTTTTATTTTTCTATTTAAATGATATTGAGGGTTGGGGAGATAGCTCAGCTGTAAAACACTTTCCTCATGAGGTATAAAACCCTAAGTTGTTCCCCAAAACCCTCATACAAAAACAGCTGGGTATATATTGCATGCGTTTGATCCCAGCACCAGGGAGGCAGAGACAGGCAGATCCCTAACTCTCATTGGCTAGCCAGTCTAGCCTGCTTGGTAAGCGCCAGGCTTATGAGAGCTGATACCTCAAAAGATAATGTAGACAGTGCCTGAGAAATGATGCCTGCACACACACATATACCACACATGCACACACACACATACACCACACATGCACACACACATACACCACACATGCACACACAATGTGCCACACATGCATACACACATGCACCACACATGCACATGAACACACATGCAATCCAAATACATGTCAACAGGGTGCTGACTCAGAATGGTCCCAAAGACAAAATAAAACTCTATTCCATTGCCCTAGCCTTGCTAGCCCCTTCCAAGAAGCAACTGGTATTGCTTTTTGCACATATATTTTCTCAAAGATGATTAATAAGTAGAAATATATGTTAAAGTACCTATATTTTTTTAATTCCTAAATAGTAGCTCACTGTGTATTTGCATATTTACCCTTTTTATTTAATGTACTGATCCTTATGCAGCTGCTGGAACCTATTTAAAGATCCAAGAAGGGACCTGCCTCCTTTCTAGGGTTTTCCTTCCCATTCCTCCAGATGTCTCTCATAGTGCCTAGTCCAGGCACTGTGTCTGCTGTCCCTACCTGTAAAATACCATTTATAGAGCACTTACTTACTCGCTCACTGAGTTTGTGTTTGGTTTATTTTGTGTCTGCTCAAAGGGAGACCGTGAGTCCCCAGGGTGCACTGAGTCAACCCAACACCAAGGAGTCGGTAGCCTTCTCTGTCACTCAGCGAGACGCAGATCTGGCCAGTGTTGGCACTGCTGTTTCCCTCTGCTTCTTTTCTCAAACACAGATGCTCCGCTTGCTTATCACAGGTTCTCCCTGGAAATCCCAGCTTTGCTCCTCCTGCTGGTTGGACCTGCCCTTGTACCAGGAAAAGCCCCTTAGCTCTGCCTGAACCCTTGAAGGTCACTGCCTCTCATTGCCACAGGGGCCTCAAAGATAATGTTTTCTTGGGGGAGGAGGGGAGAAAGAGCCCAGAGCTTTCTATCAGTCCTCTTTGTCTGGTCCCACGTCAGGGCTGAAGAAACAGGCCAGGTCCGGTGGTGCATACAAGTCTCTAATCCCAGCCTTCGGGAGGAGAGGCAGGCAGATCTCTGTGAGTTGAGGCCAGCCTGGTCTACATAGAGTCCAAGCCAGCCAGGGCAACATAGTGAAATTCTGTCTCAGAGCTAAGACTGATGAATCAGAACCCCCAAGGGAACCCTTCTGTTACCTGTTCACGGGATGATTCTCATGGCAATGTTCTGTTTGTGTGAAGTTTAAGAAAATATGTAGTCGAGCGAGACTCCAATTACTCACTTTATTTGAAATCTTAACACCGTCTCACGGCGTTGGATTGTAACGGCACTTTATACCTTTGTGTTGTGGGTCGCCCTACATGTAAATTTTATTTTGCATCGAATTGTCATTGTATTGCATTAATTTAATAAACTATTCTTATTTATTAAACATTTTTGTTTCTTAAACCATTCCCAGTTTAACCTCCAGTAGGAAGGAGTCACTTTGAATACCCTGTCTTTATTCCCCCCCCCCCACACACACACAGCTTTTATGCTTAGATGGCATGTTATCAGTCAAAAGTCTTCCATTTGGGGGTGGGGTAGGAGGACAAAGCAGAATCCCCAGAACCAGGGATGTGAAGGGGCTTTGGTTGGAGAGCACGCTGAGGTGCGCGCTGGCATCACACCACGAAGCTGCACGCCCCTCGGTCTTCAGGTTCTGAAAAGGACGCGAGAAACCTAGAACTAAGCAAAGTTCAGGACTAGGACCCAAGACTTCTCTGGAGCCATAAGAAAGTCTACAGCCTTTTTAGACAAACACCATCACACGCACCACTAGAGAAAGTGTGGCTCTTTGAATGTCTTGTCTCTCTTGGCCACTTCCTCACAATTCAGCTTGAAGAAGCTTTGGATCTTTGGATAATTTCTTGAAATCAGATGCTCTCAACACATGGTAACTGTTCCTAATGACAGATGACAGACTCCGGATGTTTTTAGAGGAAGATCTATGTCTTTATAGTAACAACGACCCACTGTCTATGTCAGTCCCTGGACAATCAACGGGTTTACCAGCAGAAGGCTCCATGACAGGATCGGATCATGTGCCAACAACAGTGGATTAATGTCTTTCCTCTGAATGGTTCCTTCCACCTCCAGTTCCTGTTTTGGCAGGCTCAGGGTCAATCTACCCCAAAGTTGAGATATACAAAGTAACATTTAGCTTCAGAAATCTCTTCCATTTCCTCTGCTAATATCTCAGTGACTCACAATTAGATTTTACTGGGAATTGTGAAGAACACTCCACGGCCTCAAGGGGCTTGCAGTCTTGCTGAAGACACAATGTAAACAGTCGTTCAAAACGTTAGTGAGCGTTAATTCGTGTGTTAGAATATGAGAGTGTTTAGTGCCGCCTGGGGCCAGCCAGAAGATAAGATGGTGAGTTCTGAACAGACGAGTGTGACTTGGATCTGGGTTGTCCCGCAGACAGTCATCAATTGGAAGCTTGGTCCCCAAGGCAGTGGTATGGCTGGGATGGAATCTTTAAGAGCTGATGACTGGTCCTGAAGAGGCCTTAATGGTTTTCTGTGGAAAGTGAGTCAGCCCCATATGGTTACAGCAGGAAGCTGACTTCTTTCTTGGATGGTTTAGATGGGATCAGTTCATATTCACGGCTGTTTTCATGAGATCTCAGTTTCCTTCACTGGCTCTCCCTTTTCATCTCTTCCTCTCCGATTCCCTTTGCACACTGCTCACTGCTCTCACCTGTGTTCCTGACACACGATGCTACCCCACCACGCTTGGACTCTATCAGAGGCCACTGCCAGCGCCTCTTCACAGCGCCAGCTTGGGCTGTGAAGCCCCTGAAAACGTTAGCCAATGAGACTTCTTTTCCTTGTCAAACAACCACTCTCAAATTTAAACTCAGAGTGAATCCTAAGGCCTAGGGTTCTTTTCAGAGGACAGCTGAGTCGTCATGGCCACCCTTGAGGGCACGAAAAGTGACTCCTTCCAGACGGTGTAAATGGGACAAAGAACCTTGGTGCTTACTCTCATGGATGGTGGGGAGTTCAGGAGGTACTACCATCTGTGGTAGATAAGCTTCAGTTTCTGCCAGATTGCACATGACCCAGAAGTTCCACTTCTACAGCTTCCCATGTGTGATAGGTCACATACACATAAACTTAGCCATTGTACCCTTATTCAGAATGACCAAACGTTTAACACGACCCAACAGCTGTTAACAGGGAACGGATCAAACAGATGCGGGTACCGCTCAACAATAGAATACTTTTAGTAGACAGCTACGAAAACAAAGAAGGAATCCTTTTTAAACTGATAGGAGAACAATCTCCAAGATGGATCTGTTGTTAAGAAAAATATTGAAGAAATGCTAAATTATAGTGCACTTGGGGCATTATATTAATTATATATAGAATATGCAGCCTTTGAATATTCATTTGCATGCTAGGTGCTAAGTATGGACAGATAATCTGTGCTCTTAATCTATACATTATGAGCTCTGTGTGTCTGTCCAGAAAATACAAATTTTGCACTTTGAAAAAAGAAAAATGTGCATTTTGCTTGTATCTGCAAGAAGCACATGCTTAGAAGGAGGAATGAGAATTTGATAGAAAATGCCTTATGTCGAAAATTGGGACTATAGTAGATAAATTTAAACTATAGAGGTAAGCCTGCTATCTCATATCTTTTTTTTTTTTTTTTTTTTTTTTTTTGGTTTTCTTTCTTTCTTTCTTTCTCTCTCTCTCTCTCTCTCTCTCTCTCTCTCTCTCTCTCTCTCTCTCTCTTTTTGTTTGTTTGTTTGTTTGTTTCTCAAGACAGGGTATCTGTGGGTATCCCTGGCTGTCCTGGAACTCTGTATACTAGGCTGGCTTCAAACTCACAGAGCTCCGCCTGTCTCTGCCTTCCAAGTGCTGGGGTTCCAGCTGGACACCACTACTGTCTGGCTGCTTTTGAACGTTGTAACCATATTGTCATTTCAGATAACTAAGTTGTTACTATCTAAAAGTCTGAGATCAATTATTTACCTTCCAGGGTCTTTCTTTCCTTCACTTTGAAGAAAAACTTTCATTCACTAATATATATATATATACATATATATATATGTATATATATATGTTAATATATAAGGATAATACAAAAATCAGCAGCTAGAGAATTTAAAAGCATAATTCACTGTCACTTGAATTTCAGTGTGACCCTGAGCTCAACTGAATCGATTCATTTTCCTTTCATATTTTTTTCTATTTTTGACAAGTCTTCCCAGCCCAGGCTCTGTCCCGTGGACACCCAAGCAGATTGTTTATTTAGGGGATCTGATTATGTAGCTGTAGGGTTGGATCTGCATGATAAGGGTCATTACAGAAGAATAAGGCACCATACTGGCCCATTGTTTATGTTCCCATGGATGAAATAATTGAGAGATCTAGAGCCCAGCCGGCGTGCAGGAATGGTCCTCACTTCTGTCTGTGAAGTCCGAGAAGTGAGTTTTATCACGCTCTTGCAAGTGAATTTTAGCAAAACAGAGGTGGGGCTTTTTTGATCAGTAATTTGGGGCCTTTGTTGAATCTTGAAATCCCCTAGGACTAGGCTTTCCCTCTCACTTAATATCTGGGTTTCTTCTGGGCAAATTTATCTGTCTGCTTTGAGATTAGGTACTCAACCTTCAAAAGACACAAACATTTGTTATGCGGAGAGGAAGGAAAAGAGAAAGTCTCTGAGACGTTACTCATGGATAGCGACATAGACAGAGCTGAAAGTCCTTGTGAGAACTGCTGCGGTGCTGGAAACTGAAGAAAATGCCAGGACCCATCCATAACAGAACAAAACAAACAAACAAGCAAGCAAGCCAGCAACAGTAGCTGTCAACCAAACAAACAAAATCCTTCCTGCCGCAGCACCCAATAGAGAGCAGGCCTTTCCTCTCAGTCATCTCTTCTTTCTGAATACAGACAGTTTAGTAAGCATGAGCTGAGTTATGCATGTGAATGTATACGAAACCAAATAAAATGATCTCTCTCGGACACTGGAGGTGTTGACGACTTCAAAGCGCTTTTAATAAACCAGGCATCTAGGGAAAAACTGGGGGAAAAAAAGGATGAACAAACAAAAAAAAACCAAAACCAAACCGAAACAAAACAAAAACCTTTTTGTACTGGTCAGGACTCTTAGTTCTGACTGTGAAAGGGAAGCACGGGTCTGTACCGAGAAACCTCCCTGTGTTTTGGAACAACAGGAGAATGCCTTAAAAACCCAGCCGCTCCTGACCTTAGGTGTGTCCTCTAGCTTCCCTGAACCTGTTTTCTTATGCTAAATGGAGTCAGGGCTAACCACTTAACGTCTAAGTGTTGCGCAGACTGCTTGGCATTAGCAAGCAGCAAGAAACCTATATATTGATTGGTATTGTTGATTTCAGGGAGTGATTTACTAAATTATTTTAAGATCCAAAAGCTCTGTAAGCTGTGAAGTACTTAAAAAGGTAGCTTAAGTTTTAAATTATTTTTAAGGTTAGTTTTTAAAAGTTTTTTTATTTATTGTATATTATGGGTAGGAATGTTTTGCCTGTATGCATGTAAATTCCCCATGTGCATCCTGGTACCCACAGAGGTCAGAAGAAGACATCAGATCCCGTGGAACTGGAGTCATGGATAGCTGTGAGCCACCATGTGGGTGCTGGGCACAGAACCCAAGTCCTCTACAAAGCAACTCCTGCTTTTAGCAACTGAACCTTCTCTTCACCCACCCGGCAGAGTGTTTATCTCTTACATCTGCCTTTAACTAGGATACATGCTAACTGAAGCTGTGGCCGACCGAAGAGCTAAATTGACACACAGTGACTTTGGATAATGTCAAAATTAACTGGAATTTATTTTTACTTTGTGCATTTAAATTCTGGCATCAATTTCTTTAGAAACGTTTGGGTATCTTGTGTCAGTGTTGAATTTCGGCAAAGCTAAACATAGACTGGATAGTATATTAAGGGTAATTCAGTGAATGTTGATTTGGGATAAACAGCGTTTCATTTTGTTCTTAGGAAAGATGCTTCATTGTTTTACAACAATGAAGCCTTTTTTTTTAAAGCAGGAAACTATCCCTCTTTTCAGACCTCAAATTAAACACATCTGTCTATTATTGAGTCAAACAGAAAGCAAACAGAACGCAATAATAACCCAGCTGGTTTCCGCCTGGAGTAGGGTATTGACACATAATAAATGATAATTTACCTTCTCTGTTCACTGGATGTGCACTGTACCCACCTGGCATTTTGGGGAATCCATAAATGATTTAGATGTCCATCTTCAACAACAGGAAGGCCGAAATATGCCCTCAGGTTTATGGGCATAGCCTCTCCTCCTCCAAAAGCTGAACACTACAAAAGACAGAAAACTATCAAAAACAAACCATGGGAGTCTATAATCACTTGTCCATCTC